GATGGCCACGCCTCAATCCCTTCTCCTCCATTCTCTTCTTGGGATCTTGGGCACGCATGCACACGCGCCCGGCGTGAGTTTAAACCACTGGGTCCGGGACGCGAACCGCGGTCGACCATGTGGGAGTCCAGTGACATAGTCATTACGCTGACTGCTGGTCCTGCACTGAAGACTCATTCTTGAAGACCCAGAGAATTCCACTCCTCGAAGAGTGCATCTAACAGGCAGGGTGAGAGACTTCCATGAAGAGCGAGGAATGTTATCACAGGCTATCCTAGTCCCTTGTGGAATTGCGTTCAGTGGTCAGAGAATCTAGAACATGAGCTGTGAAGGATGAATAAAAGCTTGTCAGGCTGGTGGGCCAACAGTATATTGAGGAGAATAGGCAAAACATCTGATAAAGCTCATAGGACCCAGGGATACTGTGAAGGATGGTTTTGGACTTCATTCAAAAGGTTAAAAAAAGTCCCTGAAGGGAGATCAGCAGATGACGTAATGGTTACATTGCTAGACTCCCACATAATTGACCACAATTCAAGTCCTGGATCCAGTGGCTTAAAACTCATGCCAGATGTGTGTGCATGCATGCCCAAGATCCCAAGAGGAGAATGGAGGAGAAGAGATCACAGTGTGACCATCTCCCCTGGGTGGGGGGGTAATTTCTTGCTTTCTGTCTGTCTCTGCACTATAGCAGAAATCTTTCTAGAACAAACAAAATACCTGTGCCTAAAAGAAATCCCTGAAGGATGGGAACCAGCAGATGGAGTAATGGTTACATTGCTGGACTCCCATGCAGTTGACTGCAGTTTGAGTCCTAGACCTAGCAGCGTAAAATTCACACTGGGCATATGTGCATGCATGCCCAAAATCTCTAGAGGAGAAGAGGAGAATGGAGAAGGGATTGCAGTGTGGCCATCCCCCCCAGGGAGATGATTTCTCAGTTTCTGTCACTCTGGTGAGTGTGCGTGCCTTTTAGCAAAAAAATTTCTCTCTCTAAAAAAAGAGAGAGAGAGAGAGGAAAAAGAAAAATCCCTGAAAGGTTTTAGGCAATGGAGGGGTATTAAGCAAGGGAGGAGCATAATCCTATCTGTGGTTTAGACAGATGGCAGAAGTTGTAATAATGGACAAAAGTTCTCAAACTTCAAGCCAAACTTCAAGCCATCAAGGTTTTTAAAAGCAGTTTGCTAAGTTGCTTCTCTCTCTTTCTCATTCGTGGAAGAAATAAAACTTTTTTCTTTTGGTGTCCTCAAGTGCAAAACAGGCACTAGAAATAGAATTCACCTCCCTGGCATTGCTTTGGTCTGAAATAAGATAATGCCCGTAAACTGTGCAGCACATAGTAAACATGAACTACTATTCTTGTTGCTTTATGGTTGGTATTTGTGTGACTTTGAGGCTGCTATGTAACTTGTCTAAACTTTGATATTGCCACATTCAACAGTTGCTTTCCAGTTGGGCTGTTGCCGGATCCAGGGAGATACAGGGTCAGGCAGGCCAGGCCGTAGGTGTGTAATAAAACTTAGTTGTCTCTCCCCAAGCTCTCCCTTTCCCCACTCCTACAGACCTTGGACTGCATCAGAGTGTTTTTTTCTTACCAGGCTGATGAGGTGACAATGGGAAGAAATTGTTGGGGGTTGTGGTTGAGCTCCCAGCCATTGTTTAAAAACACAGAACATTCCTTTCAACCTCAGAAGATCTACATCCCATTAACATTTGTTCCCCTTAAAGTCTGTGTTCCTAAAGAGCTTAGTGCAGACTAATATTGAGTGAAATAAAACAAAAAACAAAATCAACTCAGAGTTATTTGGAAGTCACCTGAAATCAGTTTGGCAAGGCATGGTTAGTGTGTCTTGAAGAGTTGATCTCTCTTCAAGGATCTAGAATGAAGAGGGGTTATTGCCTAGACTTTGGTGGTAGGAAATAGACTCTTTTTAATTTTGTTTTTAAAACGAGCCCTTATTCTCATCCTATTGGGCTCATTTCCACTTTCCTCCTTTGAAATCAGCCTATTACAGTCTATAATCTTAAAGGAGGAGCCTTTTGCAAAGCTATCTAGTAGTGCATTTATACTGAGATAAGATTGAGGGACACCCTTAGGCATTTTCTAGTCTAAAAGTTATTTATTGTTGGGAAGAAATACTTCAGGGCCCCTTAGAGTATATACGAAAAGATAATTATTGACTGAGTCACTCATAGGTTATTGCAAACAAACAACAGAAATCCCCCTAATGCAACATTTTTGTCTTGTTTCCCAAGCTTTGTGCCAGAGTTTGTCTTAAAGAGCTGCAGAGAACAGTACTTCTGTGTCCAAGCTGTGGGTAGCCTAAATGTTAGGCTAGGATTGTGAAAACTTCATCCATTCAAAATTTGATCTTTTTTTTCCTTTGATTGATTGTTTTTATAAAGTTAATCTCTTTTGTCGTTTTGGGATGGCAGCATAAACAATGCTTCCTTTTAAAATAATTTTATTTATTATCATGTTTTAAATTTGCCACAGGGTACATGTACTCACCAAAGACAGAGAGAGAGAAAGAGAGAGAGAGAGAGAGAGAGAGAGAAAGTAAGCCACCTTCCTTGATACATTCCATACCTAAACAAAACCTTTCAAGGAATCCCCTCCGGTAGGGGTGGGGAGTTAATTCCTGGATAAAGTCCTTAGTAAAAGGCATAGTCAGTGTTAGCTTATTATCCCTTCTCCTGTATTCCTGTCCAAATTGCAAGCTCCTCCCCCCTCCTTCTCCAATTCTTGATAATCTACCAAGTAGATTACACAATGGCTTAGACTCCTGGGACTCTTTAGGTTGACTCTGAGGGCCAATTTGTATTGTGGTCAAGATCAATCTGACTTTTTGGAAAGAAGTTGGCTTCTGTTCGGTTTTCAGACCTTTCCTTGGCTGAGTGAAGCCCAAAGGTGGCCTAACAGGTAGTTGAACCGATTCCATCCCATTCCTCAGCCAAGCTCTGCACCCCCAAAGTTGTTTCCTGATTATTTGGAATGGGGAGTTGTTTTCCTAGCAAGGAACACTTTTTCTATTTCTTGGGCTTGCCCAGACTTAGTGATTCAAACTAACACCTTCCTGGTTCCCAAGTGAGTCACTCCAGGGCTGCACTCCAGCCCTGGGCTGCAAAGGGGCCAAGAGGGAACCCTTTAAGAGCACCCCCGCTTTTAACACTTTGAACTATCAACTTCTGTGGATTTCATCTCTCTTTGAATTTAGCATACAGGGCGTTGACAGTTTGAAGTTAGGGTGGGACTTATACCCAAAAGAAGGATCAAGAAAAAGACATTAAGGGCTTGAATATTCTACCTGTCAGAGCCAAAGGCAGTAATTATGTATTGATTTATGGGTAGTAGTGGATTAAATCCCAGAGAAAGTACAGGAAGCAGAAAACGTATTCTGAGGCTGGTTAGAACAGCGATCCTAACTTCCATTTACCTACGTAGTCAACATTCTTGTTTCTGGTTAGAGCTGTGGGTTTTCAGAGGCATATAATTAATAACCTATAATAATGAGTACGTGTCTGGAGCATGTGAAGGCGGTCAGAAGGAAGGAGACTCACGTGACAAGGAGGAAGGATGCTTTACCTTAGTATCTTAGCAGGGGCATTTCCCAATTGACTTCTCAGGTACTATCAGTGAACTAGACCTAACTGGTGGCTAAGGTGGGAGTGAATGATTGATGGGTATCTCAATGTAACTGGAGAGATTAAACAATGAAACATTAAAAAATAATTAAAAAAAAAGAGGAAGTAATGTCTGACCAAACTTCAGTGTTGAAACTTAAAATACTTAACTCACTGGACTGTGGCTCCTGTTCTCACAAGCAGGGCCAGCTTCTTCCTAATGACCTGTTTGTGAGAGGGCCTAAGAGGGGTTGAGTAGACAGCCTGGGTTTGACTGCTCCCTACTCTCATGGGTGGACCTTGGGTGTGTGGTTGTCATTGTTTCCCCCTCTGCAATTTGGGAAGCTCATCAGCACCTCCTTCATAAAGTTGCTGTGGGATTATAAATAAAATGCTTACAAGAGTGCCTGGCACATAGAATTGAGTGTTATTACTTGAAGCTGTCTGTCAGGCCCCAAATCTAAAGTGTTCTTGATCTCAGCACTTTAAAAACAAGTGAGCAGTTCAGGGTTTTCAGACATAGGTACCAGATTCTTTTTATTACCCGTGGAGGGTGGCAGGTAAGTTATATAACCTGTGTGAGCTTTCATAGTTGTGAAATAGAAACATCCTTCTCAGAGCTCGGGAGGCCTATGTCATAACCCATGTCAAGGAAATGGCACGTGGGAGGGGGATGTTCCTACACTCTGTCCTCTTACTGGGCAGAATCCTTGGGCTTGAATTGAACAGGGGAAAGGCATGGGTTAACTGAATTGAAAGGCGTTCCTTGTGTTCCTCCCAACCCCCAGTCTTTAGCCCCTCTTTGTATATTTAACTGTTATCTTTAACCTCTTGTATCTCTTTTCCCTACCTCTAGCCTTCTCACCAGCCTGCCACCCTTTCCTTCTGTAACAACTCTGGCTCTTATCACAGTCTCCAGGAAGCATCTTATAACCCTGAGAACTTAAAAACCTTCAGGCCCCCAGACCCATTTAACAAAGAGAAACTCTTGCCTTTCTTAAAATAACTTTTCCCATCTTTGTAAACTCACCCTTTATAGGTCAACTTCTGCTAATCTGTAATTAAGAAAATGGGAGAAGTGGGAGAAAAAAAACATTCACAAGTTAAGATTTGCTTCAATCATATATTTTCCAAGTATTTTATTTTTTCTAAAAACAATAGAAAAAATCAACTTTAAAAAGAGAAATGTACTTAAATAAAAAAAATTATGGTTTATAATACATGGTTTGAAATCTTTAACTGCTATAAATGTATTAAAGTTATTTACATTTAATGCATATTTACACATGAAAATTGCGTAAACTCTTAAGCTTTAAGATTTTAAAAAAACAATTCTTAAATACAAACTTGTTAAGAGGAAAAACAAAAAAGATGGCAAGCATAAAAAAAGTTCTTTTATGCCCAAAGTTCCATTTGAGGCAGTTTACATTATGGCTAAACCTTTCAGTCCTAAGGCCCAGCCAAGGTTGTGCGGTTGCACTTGACCATGCATTTAAAACAAGTCCAGAAGTTCTGAAAGGAGGAACCTTCTTCCTTACTTCCCTTGGTAACAAGTGAGAATTCAGAGGCGACTCCAGTCCCTCCCTCCAATAGGTCAATTTATGCACAAGAGTTCCGTAGCTGTTCAAGTTTGTGTTTCAACTGTTCTCGCCGCTTCCTTAACAAATCCTTTTCTGAAATGAGCTTTTGCTCCTCTGCTTGAACAGACAGGATGTATGCTGTGGCTTTTTTAAGGATAACTACTTTGGGGGCCTTTTCATTGTTTTCCAACTCGGGGATCTGGTCACGCAGAGCAAAAAAGCTTCGTTTCAGCTCGTTTCGCCTCTGGCGTTCCAGGACATTGTGTGTCCGCCTCTTGTCATTCTCCTCGGTGTCTGAGGACCTGGGGCTGGCACATTTCCGGTTGTTGCTGATCTGTTTCAGGACTCTGCCACTGTCCAGCTTAGCCCTCTTGGCAGCTGGGTAGTCCTTCCTGGTGGAGGGTGGTGCGGCGTAATTGTGCTGATGGGTGGAGACATGGCACCTCTTGAGAACCAGTGGACTGTGAGGGGGTTTGCTGTGGCCTCCAGCGGAGGGTGACCCCGATTCCGACCTTTTGGTAGGGGGCTGCCTCTTTTCTACAGAAACGACATCAATTTCTTCCTCATCCTCTTGGTCTTCCTCTTTAAGAAGAGAAAGAGAAATCACTGTTAGAAACGTTTCCTAAAGACAATCAATGACCAGATTAAATGAAGGCTATGCAAATATAAAACAGTAAGTTAGAAAGGGCTCTGGACAAAGTCATTTCGTGAAAAAAACCAGAACTAGCCAACCGTCCCTCCTCTTCTCCCTATGAAGGCAGAATCTTACAGAGGGAGGATGACAGCTGGGGTTATGGCACTGACAAAATGATAATTTACCAGGCTACAGCTTCGATGCCAATTGTTACCTAAGACTTAATGAGGCTTTGGACACACCCAAAGCAAAGCTCATTCCCAAGCACCTCCTATTTTTAAGGGACTTTACCAAGAACCCTTCAGGTGTTGTGAATGATAGCTGCAAATCTCTTGGAATGACTTTAGCAACTCCCTATTTTACTGGAAGTGCTAGGAGAAAAAAATCTTGCACCTTTGCCAAAGTCCTGGGAGGTGGAGGTGGGAAAAGAAGTCCAATTTTGGCGAGGATTTGCTTTGAAGTGTTGGAAAGAGGCTGAAAAATCCCAGCTCTTCGGTGCATCCACTCTTAAGGCACTTTCACCAACCAGCTCCCGGTACTCAGCAAAAGCTACCCAGGTCTATCCACCTCTGGGCATTTCTACCGGAAACCCAGGCCATTAAACTGCAACTACTTTTCAGAAGTTAAGGGAGGCAATTCATTCACTCTCTGAGATCAATCCTCTTATCCTCATTTACACCCTTCCCCCACCACATAAGGACAATTAAAATACTTAAAGAGAGGTAGGAGGGAGTGGATTGAATTGCAAGATAAGCCAGAAGACTTGAAAACCCAAATGAAATTCCTGAGGGGTGGGAGGATGGCAACGAGGGCGGTCTACGGAGGATGGGAGGGAACGCTAAACCCCCGGGTTCCAGAGATGAAAAGCTCCTAGATCCTTCCAGGTCCGCCATTTCTCCTTCCAAATAGAAAAGAAAGGCAGGATCGATGAAAGTGGCCGGTTGAATTCGCCGCCAATGATAACAGGAGAAACAGCCGCCCCCTTCTGACAGGCCGAAAGGGGCCCAGCTTACCAGAGTCGCTGCTGGTGGTGGGAGGTGTCTCCTCGTGGAGCGCCAGGGGCTCGGGGCTGGCCCGCGGAGAGGACTCGGTGGAGGAGAGCAGGGAGTCCGAGGACGGGGAGAAGGCGGTGGAGTCCGGCGAGGCGCAGGGCTTGGGCGAGCTGCCGTCGTTGAGCGGGTAGGGGAAGACTACCGAGGGGTCGATGCACTCGGAGGCGGCGGCGCTCAGGTCCTGCAGGTACAAGCTGGAGGTGGAGCAGCCGCTGTGCCCGCGGGCGGGGCTCGGGCTGCCGCTGTCTTTGCGCGCAGCCTGGTAGGAGGCCAGCTTCTCGGAGACCAGCTTGGCGGCGGCGGAGAAGCCGCTCCACATACAGTCCTGGATGATGATGTTCTTGATGAAGGTCTCGTCGTCCGGGTCGCAGATGAAGCTCTGGTTCACCATGTCTCCTCCCAGCAGCTCGGTCACCATCTCCAGCTGGTCGGCGGTGGAGAAACTGCCGCCGCCGCCGTCGTCGTCTCCCCTGGGGGAGAAGGACGCGACGGCTACGTAGGAGGGCGAGCAGAGCCCGGATGGGCGGCTGGGTGACAGGGGCGGGGTGGGCAGCAGCTCGAATTTCTTCCAGATATCCTCGCTGGGCGCGGGCGGCTGCAGCTCGCTCTGCTGCTGCTGCTGGTAGAAGTTCTCCTCCTCGTCGCAGTAGAAATAGGGCTGCACCGAGTCGTAGTCGAGGTCATAGTTCCTGCTGGCGAAGCTGACGTTGAGGGGCATCGTCGCGGCAGCCTGAAGGCGGCACATACAGGGCACATACAGTGTTAAGTTACGGTCGTCTTGGTGATGCCAAGCCCGGCGTTAATGCGCACCACGATCCCGAACCACTCCCCTTCCAGTGTTATCCCCCGAAGGGGCCGAGCGAGCAGGGGCGACCCCTCAAACCCCCAACCCACCAAAAAAACAAAAAAAAAAAAAAAAAAAGAAAAGAAAAGGAAAAAAGCCACCTCTGGGTGACTCTCGAATACGCATTTGGTAAGCCAGTTGCATAGTGCTTGCCCAGCCAGCGCCCGCCGGGAGCCGGGAGCGCGAAGCCTAGGAGTCAGCCTAGCAGCCGCCCAGGATCAGAAATCGGCCTTGGCCTCCTTAAGGGGCCGCAGTGGGGAATACAGTCTGCCAAAACCCAAGGCACAAAGTTTTGCGCCACCTGAAGGAGAAGAGGAGAGACGCCTCTGCGCCAGCGGCTGCGCGCGGCCCCCTCCGGCTCCTGGCCCCTCCGAACTGCCGCGCCCGTTCCCACTCGCGCCCTCGCCGAGCGCCTACCCCGCTGGCGCCGCCGCCCCTCCCAGCCTCCCCTGTGTCCCACCTCCCCACTCCCAGTGCGCCCCCCTTCCTTCCTCTGCCGACTTCTTCTCTTTCGCTGGGATGAAGTGGCCAGCTCAGCCGCCGGCTTAAACGCCCCCTCCCCCATAAATTAAAAAGGGGGTGTTCAATAAACGGGCACCTCCCTTCAACACTGACCGCCGAGCAGCCAACTGCGCCCGGAGACCCCGCTGCCATTCCGCGCCCAGAACCAGGCGTCTTCCCCTACCCCACCGAAGGTAGCAGCTGTTCTGGAGCAGCCCGAGCTCCGCTCCTAGCTGTCTCTCAGCATCTCAGGGGCGCGGGGACACCCGCCGGCGGCGGGGGAGTCTAGGCTGGGTGCAGAGATTCGTCCTGGCTTTCCGCAAGTCTCCGAATTTAGGAGAATCCGACACATCCCAGCCCCGTCTCCCCTCTCCCTCCCCTGCGCCTCGACACCAAGCCTTAACACCTCTGGAGACGAAGGTCTTAAATTTTATCTTTTCTTTTTAAAGCCAATAGCCAACTTAAAAGGATCAGGGGCCAGTAGAGTCGCCGCGGGGGTCGGCGGGCGGGACGCGCCGCAGTGTCTGTTCGCGGCTGTCAGAAATGCAGTAAGCCCAAATTTAAATGCCCTCCCGGAGACGGAGAAAAGTCAGGGCTGCAGAGCTCTCTCGCTCACACACAGTATGTAACCCGTACTCCCAGGAACTCAAGATGCAAAGGGCTTTCTTCTGCCCACAGCGACAGAGCACCCCCCCCCCAAAAAAAAACCCTCAAAACACCAAAAAAAAAAAAAATCTAAACGGCTAATAATCAACAAAGCAGGATGTCCGACCGACCGGGGAAGCGTCAAAATACATAGGTGACAATTTCTAAAGGCTAGTTTCAAAAAGGCTCCGGCTTCCCTCTGCTTCCCCCTGTCTTGACAAGTCGCTCCATTCGATGCGGTGTGATCTCCCCCAACCCCAGCCGACAACCACCCCGAGAATGAGAAAAGTATTAGTAGCGCAGGAATGGAGAAAGGACACCCCAGTTTGGGTATTTGACTTATCTCAGCATTAAGGCGGTAGAGAAAATAAATTGAAAGAGAAATACATCTGGGTGCTTACCGAGTTTCCCACTACGCGGAGGAAATCCAGCGTCCGAACAGCGGCGGGGAGCGCCTTTCAGAGGAGCGGGTTCTGAGCAGCAGCGAAAAGTGTCCCTAAATAGGCGAAATAGCTTCCCCGCGTCCGGGTTGTCGCGTCCTCGCTCGGGTGTTGTAAGTTCCTGTGCAAAGTGCCTGCCCGCTGCAACGGGCAAAGTTTGGGGGATGCGGCGACGGCTGCGGGCCGCTGGTGACAGGTCAGCAGGAGGGGTGGGGTGGGAGATCCTGGGCCGGAGGCAAAAGCCCCCCTTTCACTCCGGACCTCGCTTCTCTGGACGCCCGAGCGCGGCTCTGCTAGCTCGGCTTTGCACCCTCTCTCAGGCCCGCCCGCTCGCTCCCTCTGCCTCTCGCTGGAATTACTACAGCGAGTCAGATAAAGCCCCAAAAACCGGCTTTTATACTGCAGGCCGATCCCTCCCTCCGTTCTTTTTCCCGCCAAGCCTCCGAAAAGCCCAGCCCTTTCCGAAGCAGGAGGGGAGGCAGGCAGCCGCCGGGGCGCGGCGGTGGCGGCGGCCTGGAGACGCGCAGCTCGGGGGTCCTCGGTCGCGCAGACCCTCGCTTTATAAAGACCGCAGACCCTCGCTTTATAAACGAGTGGTGGGCGGGGATTCGCGAGAAGGGATTTTTTTCCCTCCCTCCCCACCCCCGCCCTCGGCTTTGGGAACCCGGGAGCGGCGCCTCGGGAAGGCTGGAGAGGGGGAGGAGATTCAGCCCCGCAGCCCGGCACTCTAGCGATCGAATGTAAACAGAGTAGGCGAGCGGCATGAATTAACTGCGCGCGCCTACCATTTTCTTTTGCTCCGGCTCAAGCCCTCTCCCTTTCTCTGCCGCTCCTCTGGCGCAGTGCTCTGACAAACCGCATTCTTGCCCTGCGTGTTTAATCATCGCAGTAGGAACAGCTGCCCTCAACGCAGACTGCGAATACGCCGTGTACCCACGGCCACGCCACGCACGTCCCGGGCGGCCCGGCGCCTCCCTAGGGCAGGAGAAAGGGCAGCGTTTTGAAAACAAATGCCATAAAGTGAGGGGGAAAGAAAGCGTATTTCTGGGCGCGCGCTCGCTGTGTGGGGTGTTAGGGTGGGTGAAAATAAGTGATAGAGCTATAGGGAGGGAAATGATGCCTGGATTTATTAAAATAACTCAGCGGCTCATTGCCACGTATACTTGGAGAGCGCGTTATGAATAAACTCCCATCGCTTCTGTACTACTATCTGGCTGGGCACCTTCCACCCACAAGGAATCCCCGGGTGCTCCTGAGCAGCTAGATGACCCCACCCGGGTGCCGCCCCTCACGCAGACTCCCACAGAGCCCGGTGCGGGAGGTGGCTGTTCCCGCAGGACGCGCTAATCCCTAAGATCTTTCTGTGTGTCCCTGAGCTGGGCTAGGGGAGGAACGCGGTTACGAGAGCGCGCCGGGGACCCTCCTCCGCCCACTCTCGTCCCGCCTACACTACCCGTCCCACCCCCACGCCTCTAGCACGGAGTTCCCAATTCTGCAGCCAGGTTTCAGAAGAGGAAAATCCTTTTTGCACCCCACGGCGCCAGTTTGCACTAGTCTCCGGCTCCCGGGTTTGGGAGAAAAATCAAAGGCGCTAGACGGGAGACTATGGGGAGGGGCGAAGGGGGATCCGAACTGGGGGGCCGGACTTTCCAGAAGGCGGAGGAGGCGAGCTTGGAGACCGGGCTTGGGGAGTCCGCAGGGACCCTTGTGAAGAAAACCGTTAACTCTTTCTTCCCCGGACAAACCAGGCGTTTAATTCTTTTCCGGATCCTCTTTTTCTATTACTGGAATCGTGGTTACGCACATAAAAAGGCATCGATTCTGCTCAAAGGAGAGGAATATTATCTCCGTACCTTTCTTGGGGGAGGGGGAGATCTTGAGCTAATTAAGTGTTGGTTGCATTTCAAGCATTAATTTCCTAGTTTACTGAATATTTTTTTTCTGAATGCCATAGTGAAAATGAATTATGTATAACCTGCATGCATGTAGACATTTCATGTACAAGTCGACCCAGCTCGTTGACCAACCAGACACGATTTATTCGTCACCCGAATTGATCTATATTTAACGATAATGCATATTCCCTCGGGATTTGCTATTTTGCCTTATTCCATGACATCACATCAAAAACAAAGGCGATTTTCCTACCCCTGGTCCTTCACCCAAAGGCATTTCAAAGCAAACTTTTACGATCTCTCCCATCCGCGACCCATCCCAAGAAAAAAATTGAGGGGAGGGGGGACAGGTGCGTAGCATGTACGTTGTTCAAGATAAGTTACTGCCCGTAGAGTTTGCTGCTCAGTGTTCGATTGTTAAATGAGTAGTAACTTCCCCCAAATCAGGCGCACTGCACAATTCAGCTTTAAGGAGAGCAAATTACTCTAGCCTCTAAGCATTTGCGGCAAACTCCGGGAGCGACCAATCCCCAGGCACGGTTTTACTGCAAAGCGTCTTTCCCCGCCCCCTCCCCAGGCTATACCCGCCTTTGAGTTTGCGAAAGTAAAGTAAGTGTGCCCTCTACCGGCCTCAGAGATCACCACGTCGGGATGCCAAGGAGGGCGGGGGTCGGCTGGGGTCAGGGACCTCCGGAGCGCAGGATTTCCAGCTGGGAAAGGACTGGCGGCTCCTTAAAACGAGTTTCCAGCCTTGTTTATGATTCTTTCTGGCCATTTGAAGAGGAGCCGAATGAAAAGGAATTACTGGAGGAGAAAGTGCTTCAGTACTGGGTACCCCATTGCGTAAAGGGGTGGTGAAAATTAACCCATCACTACGTGTTGACAGCGAACGTCAGACTATAGAGAACTCAAGGTTTAGGGGAAACGTGCAATAATTCGCAAGTACACGCGAAAAAATTTTGGACAAAACCCTAAAGCAGAACAAGCTTTAGCCCACAGGTCTGAGAGACCCTTCTCTAACCACCAGGTTTGAAAGCTGGATACTGGTTTTTTTGGGGGGGAAAAGGAGGCAGAGTGGAACTTGAGGAAGATTTGGTTTGTCTATTATTATAATTTTTTAATTAGAAAGGGCTTATATGTAATAGCCAGATAATTGACAGTGAGGAAGGGCACTTGAAATTCCATTGATAAAAGTGTAAAGGAGTATTTCCTCAGAAGTTTTAATTTCAAAGTGAGTGTGCAATAAAGGTCAAAGTAATGCCGAGGGAATGCACACCGCGTGCGTGTGAAGTGGGTATGTGTTTCTAGTAGGTTCTTATTGTAGGAAAGATGCTAGTGTCTGAACTCCTTGAGATGCCCTCAAGAGTTTTCGCATTGGAGGGTCTTTCCCGGAAGAGGCCTGTTAGGGTGATTTCCCGGAAACTAGTACTTTTTTGGTTTTGTTTTTTAGTTTGCATAGGATGGTGCACTTGCTGGAGAGAGGCAGACAGAGAGACTGAGAGAGAAAGCAACCCCCACTCCCTACGGGGATGGCCATGCCACGACCCCTTCTTTTCCATTCCCGTCTCTGGATTTGGGGGCATGCACACACACATGCCCAGTGTATTTCTTCCTCCTCCTCCTCCTTCTTCTTCTTTTCTTTTTTTTTTTTGAGAGATTTTTGCTATAGGTCATGTGCACTCTTTGGAGAGGCAGAGACAGAGAGACAGAAAATGAGAAGTCACCTCCCCCCCCCCAAGGCAATGGCCCCCTTCTCCATTCTTCTGTCTGGATTTGGGGCACACACGCACATGAGTCTGGTATGAGTTTTAAGCTGCCAGGTCTGGGACTTGAACTATGGTTGACTACGTGGGAGTCCAACCACGTAATCATTACACCATCTGCTGGTCTCTGGTGTATTTCTTAAGCTGCCTGGTTCAGGACATGGACTGCTCCATTGGCCATGTGAGATCTACTTAACTATTACATTACTGGTTGGTCTGGAGGACAAATTACTCTGCTGGAGTAATAAGTGTTCTCCATAGGGGCACCTTACAACCCTCAAACCAACAACAAATAAATAACAACAGTAAAAGCAAGGGTAGATCTAGCCTGATCTCTAGAGGGTAGTTTTTAAAAGCTACTAAAGATACAGATATGTCACATCTTATGACCTGACTCCCAAATCTTGCGAGGCCAGGGTTGGGCGTGTGAACGCTGGGGCAGAAACGATGCCTGTGGGTTCAGGACTCAACCTCACTCTCTCTTAGCTGGTGACATCACCTGGGGTGTTGCAGCTTAGAGCTGTTTTGTGCCTTGGGGCCGTCCCTATTTTACACATGAGGACACAGTCAGATCTCAGGAAAGTCAAGGGACATAATTATCTTTCTTTGAGCAATTTTAAAGACACATTTCGCCTAAGATAAACATTAGCTGGGTTGAGCAAGGGTTGAGGGGTTTACAACGAATAATATCAAAATGTTCATTGTAAAAAGAAGTTGTAAAGCAGAAAAAGAGATAAGAAAATGACAAATTTCCAATTCTGATCATCTAAAATCAGCTGTTGGAGTTAAACTCTTAAACAGAGTTTTTAAAAAGTGTGTTTACTTATTTGGAGAGAATGAGAAAGAGAGAGAGAGAGAGAGAGAAAGAGAGAACCTTTGACAGGATCTTCATGCTGTGATTCACCCCAGCTTGGGCCAACACGACTTAGGGGCACGCACGTGCCTAATGGAGTCACGGAGATCTCTGAATATGAACTGACAACCTTCCCCATGGGGGTCAGCCGTGCAAAACACTGTGCTTTCCCACTGTGCCACCATCTGAGCCCTTTACAGAGACATTTTTAGGTTCACCATTGGTCTTCCTGCTCCCCAGTTTTCTGCTGGAAGACACTGGAAGATGTCTTCTGACCATCCACCCTTGGTTTGTCCTTCTAGGGACCCTATGCCGTGGCCCTCTCTCTCTCTCCCTTTTTTTTTTTTGCTGTAGGGAACATGTACTTGCTAAGGAGAGACAAGTGTGTGTGTGGGGGAAAAGCCACGTGATCATCCCTTCTCTTCCATCCTCCTTTTGGGATCTTGGGCAAACATGCACATGTGCCCCACATGATTTTCAAACCACCAGGTCTGAGACTGGAATTGTGGTCAGCCATGTGGAAATCTAGTGCCCTAGCCACCATGACACCTGTTGGCCCCAGCCCTTTCTCTGGGGGATATTGCTGGGAGTGAACTGGGCTTCAAAGAAGTAGCAGATCTCCTGAGGGGTGCTTTGCCATCTTCCACAAGGTTTGAAGTCCAGGTTAATTGTTCGATAGGATTCCTCCCAGGGCAGGGGTGGGGATTCTTTCCCAAGGGATGGTACTATGAGAATCATTAATTCGTTTCTGCATATTCTTGCGATAGTAGTCGTGCCCCTTTCACACTTAGGAAGCCAAGAAAAAGGACACAGAAAGAACAAGCAATCCGATCACACTTTCTCTCCACTTTCCAGAGGCACAAGAGACTTGGAGTGCGTGACTTGTATAAATAGCACCAGTCCCCGCCCCTCATCTTCCTTGAGTATCTCTTCCCTCACCCTTCGGAAAGGTTCCTATGGGGTTGATGTCCCGCAGATAAGAGCAGTTACTAATGTGGAAAGAAAGGGGAT